TTAGTAGGCCTAGCATAGAGATAAATACGATATGGGAGCCGTTAATACGTAAAGAGAAATTACGGCAAGATTTCAACAGCAGCAGAACAGAGAAGCCTCTGTGAATTCACTCAAACCTGACTAGCAGAAACAGTAGCAGCCAGTCTTAACGGCAGGCAGAATAAGTTTTAAGTTCTACACTCAGGATTGTCCCAGGGCACAATAACCTAGTGAATTAAAACATTTGTTCATGAATTTGGTAACAAAATGTATGTAATAAAAACAGACTCAGGGTAAAACGTTGAGCAATGACTGAGTAGTACTAAATAAAATCTAGAGGAAATATCACTATATATGGTCATCCACCGCCCAGATAAAGGCCAATGGTATCTTTTCTTCAGGGAATTACAATAAAATAATAAAATAAACACAAAATGTATCTTTTACAAAACAACACATTCAATGAATTTGATGCTCACAGCTATAACTCTGGACATAATTTCAATTTATAAATTCTACTTTAATTGAACGTGAGAACAGTTCACAAAGTCGAAAGTATATAGAAAGTGCTTTAATCGCTAGAGCACCCGCAGTAAATTTGCGTTCAGCTTCTTCAACATTTTACCTTCCTTGTCAGATCTGTTATCACGATGTGGGATACTTGATAAGAAAACTGATAAAATCATAAACAAAAAAATGGCTAGACTATAAAATAAACCATATAAAAGAATAAATTCTAAACTTGAAGATTCCACTTAGACATCTTCTTCTCGAGAAATGCTACATTTTGTAGCATCTTCTGCGCGAATGCTTCTCCAAACACTGGAATCTTAACCGATTCAAGTCTAGGGTTAATCTTTATCCACCTCAGACATATCCTCATAATGTTTATTTCTTACTTTTTTCCCCGAATTTCATACTACACCTTGATTAAGTTTTGAGTTTTATATTAGATGAGCACTAGCAAAATTAAAAAAAAAAACAGTTACAAATGAAGGAATCTATGGAAAGCCATCATCGTCAAAATCTCGAGAAGTCATAGCACATAAAAAATGAAATCTCATATTTTTTTAAAATTTCTGATATAATAAAAATTTGCTGTGGTTTCTGAGAAATAAACTCAAAGACGAAACAAAATCATGTACAGTTGTTGAGTGACGTTGGAAAACTTGAATAAAGATCACAGCACAATAACAATTGAAAGAAAATACTGGCGAGATAAAAACGCAAAAATGGATTGTAAAATATCACAAGAGTTTTGAGAAAAATAAGCAAAAAGCAAATATATGAAGAAGTTGGTGTTGCGATTATAAACGGAAAGAAAAAAAAAGCAGAACATTAAAACGTAAAAGCAGCTAAACTACGACATTCAAATAAATATCACATAAAAAGAAGCATATGAAAACTGATTTTTCAACATTAATTTTTAGTGGTGAATGTAGAGTTATATTGGATGGACCTGATGATTCGGTTAGAGTTTGGGTTCTTCATAGAAATAATTTTTTGAGCAGTAGAAAGTTAAGCTAGTATCCTAAAGATCATATTTAGGTTAGTAATGTAAAAATCATTTAAAAGTTGATGTTGATATCAAGGTAAAGGCATTAAAGATTTTTAGATGAGGGAAAGGTTCGAAGAAAGATTATTGAATATGAAAGTTATATTTACACAAGACAATGCTCCTTCGCTTTCTGCTGAGCTGAATATTACCCGCTTTAACAAGACGGGTTTGAAAGACAGCAAATTAATAGAATAACTCCCTCAAGCTTCTTCAAATATTAATCAGATAGAAATTGTCATTAAAAAATGGCCACGAGAATAGAAAACATTAATCAAACAGAGGATCCCTGGAAAGATTAAACAAATTTTGCCCTAAAAATAATAGTAAAATCGGAAAAAATTCCAAGTATATTTCCTTTCAATGTAATGGTTACAACCAAAGTAGGACATCAATTTCTAAATCTTATCAAAAAACATTTTCCCGACCACGAAACTAATCCACTCCGTAAAATATTCAATCATAATACTGTCAAATTAAGCTACAGTTGTGCTGATAACCTGGAAAAATAATTAAGAAACATAATAAGAAAGTCTTCAACAAGTATTAGGTTGGTGCAAAAATAATGACGTAATAATGTCGTTTTTTGACGTATTTTTTAACGTCAAAAAACGACATTATTACGTCATTATTTTTGCACCAACCTAATATAAGGACTCAGAAAACTTGACTACTCGACAGGTTGCAACGAGTAAAACTAAAAGTATAATGACACTAATACTAACTTGTGCAATTGTAGGAATCCTAATAATTGCCCATTTGTGTATATTTGATTGTTTTTTTTTGTTTGCGTTCTACATTGCCGAATACTTGTTTTTTATTCCACCCCTCTTAAATTTTATCTATTGAACCCTCTTTTTATCTATATATCTTTGCCATCTATGTAAACAAAATTTACTTTATTTTGTTTTAATTGAAACGCTAAAATTCCAGTTAGAATAAACGTTAATCTAATGGGGATGTAAAACATCGTTACAACTTTGATACATTTGATCAGGTTATAATACACAAACACACAGATATATTTAGATATATAAACACACGAACGAAACAGGAAATTGATTGGTTATGGCAGCTTATGTAACAGCGTTTCTCCTATCGAGGGATGTTTAGTTGATTTGAACCTTTTAAAACTCTTTATTCTACATTCAACACCATCACTTGATAAGGCTCCAGAAGTAATGAAACAAAATGGCTATTTTTGTAGTGATTTTATAATATTTTCATGTTATAATTTTCGAATGAATTATATTTACTCTACTCTGTTTTGAGCATATATACTCATTCCATGTCTTTAGCCAGCAAATGTTCTTTAAGGCAAATATTAAAAACAACAGACATTTTGTGTCGATTAATTAAATGATCGATTTTTACAAGTTATGACAAATCCTTCTCTGACAATATATATATATATATATATATATATATATATATATATATATATATATATATATATATATGCACACACACACACACACACACACAAACATATACATATATATATATAAAATTTGAAAACTGTATACTAAATCATTAATTTTTCTGGCACATGCAATTATTGGACGTTATTTTTTACTCATGGATTACAGACTTGGAGTATCGTCTTCAACGAGAAATTCATTTTGGCACATGGCAGTCTTGAGGCTTAAATTCTGTCATACTAGATAGCCAGCAAAAAAAATGCAATGTAACAGGTCTTGACCTGGCATCTTCAGTCACTTTCTTACAAACGTGACGTGGTATCCGTTTGTCTGTTATACGAATATTTTTATGGCAACTGCTCGGACAAGCTATTTTCACTGGCTCCCCAATTGCATGAATTTAAGCGTACTACTAGGATGGTATATGGGTCTTTTTACATCTTTTACTGCCGAAACAGTTAAATGTAATCGTCTCTTCTACTCCAAAAGCTTTTCCTCTCGCACTTCACGACAGTGGAACTCCATTACTTTTACTTGCTTTCCTGATAAGCATAATCTTCATAAATTTACATGTAATCGACATCTTCTCATGCCTTCATCTTGATCTTGATCCCCGTTCTTCTCTTTATCCTTTCCTCAAACATTCCATATATTACAATAAAACAAACAATAAAAAAATATATTACAAAATTAAAATCTTCAGACACACTGGGTTGTGTATTAATATTCCTTCGTTTTTATTATTATTTCATTTAGATTCCTCGACTAGTTTCGGCCAACATGGCCATCATCAGGAGAAAAAAAAATCTGCTTGCTGGTAGCAGTGAACTACAGAAATGAATGTCTTGGTGGAGAAAATGTCTGTAGTTTTCATTTGTTTTGTATTTTTTTTTTTACATTAATTTTGGTCGGTCTTTGTGTTTGTCAAACAGTCTCTTTTAAGTTATTATTTGAGATAAGAGCTGGATGGATTCATGTTGCTCTGAATTCCCTTGGTCATTTTGACAGTTTTATTGGTGCCTGGAAAAGGGGATGTGTCTCTGTTAAGTGTGTGTGTTATTTGGCTCTTAGGGAGTGAGTGAGTATGATATGTGTAAGCGTGTATATTCGTGTATGTGTGTGTGTATATAAGTGTGAGGCCTCAACCCTTCCGTAAACATGTCTGTCTTGTGTGGGTGAGAAATGTGGGTAGGTCCTGATTTGTGGGGTTATATATTAATACTATCTATATTGTCAAATTTGTGGTTAAGCCCGGCTGCGTGTTTTTAGACGTTGTATCCACTTATTTTCATGGAACTCTAAAATCTTTCTAATGTTATCTTCTCCCGACTTTTCTATTCTCTTAATTATAGTGAATTTGGCATATATATATATATATATATATATATATATATATATATATATATATATATGATGAAAAAATATATTTTAAGGTATGCAATATTTATTGCTAAAAGAACAGAATATCGAAGATAGAGAATATGTAAATATAGCATTGGACACTGAGGTCAATCAACATTAAGTGGCGACAGTCTCTTTCATTCTTGAAATTACTTTCAAGTATGAAATAAACAGTGAACGTTTGGTGTTGACCCCAGTTTCCATTTTTATATTGACATGCTCTCCCTCTCTCTCTCCCCTCTCTCTCTCTTTCTTCTCTCTCTCCCTCTCTCTCCCCTGTCTATCTCTCTCTCTGATAATACCGATTATTATTTATTTTGGTGTTGATTTCTTTTTATTTTTCTTGCTTGAGAGCACCTGTCAGGTCATCAACATTGCTTATTGAACGGTTGTAGAATGTAAAGACGACCTGGTTTGCGATAAAAGTAAGAGAAATAAAATGAAAGATAAACTAGTCTGAAATTAATAAGAATGATAAAAATGTTATTTACTTATTTTTTACTTTCGCGCCAAAACCTTTTAGAGAATATCACTGATATTGCAAAAATTTGATTGAGGTGAAAATTACGTTTTTTTTTATATGTTTTGTATTTTCATATTTTTTTTTATTTCCCGTCGTTTAATCATCTTAAAAGCTTCCATATTTAAAATTGGCAAGAAAGGCGAATTTGTTTACTTTCAGTGTATGTGTACGGATTTGTCAGAAAATAACAGAGAGAGCGAGAAAAAGAGAGAGGGGAAAGGAGAACGAGATATATCGAGAGAGAAAGAAAGAAGGTGAGGTATAGCGTGTCAAAATGAGAGGAGATAGAAATAAATAAAGATGGAAAGAATGAAAGAAAGACATAGAAATGTGGTGAGAAATGAGGAAACGAAAAGAAGAGATAACAAAGAGAAAAAGTAATCGAGAGATGCCACAATTGAAGACGAAGTGTGAAAGATGAACAGAGAGGGGTATTGGGAAGAGAGAGAAAGATAAAGAGAGGACCCATGGAAATACGACAGAGTGGCGTAGGGAAGAAAGTGTGAGAGAAAGCAATATACAAAGACATTAAGAGAGAGTAGGAAAGTGTGTCGAGGGGGAGAAAGAGGAAAGCGAAACAAAGAATGAGAAAGAAGGACAAAACTAAGGTGATGGGGAGCGGGTGAGGGAGTTGAGAGAGATAGAGAGAAAGGAATAAATTACATGAAAGTGTGATAGAAAAAGAACAGCAGAGAGAGAGAGAGAGAGAGAGAGAGAGAGAGAGAGAGAAAAGGTAATAGAATGTGACATGTAAACAGGACGGTGAGAAAAAGATTGGGAGAAAGAGATTGGGTGAAGAGGTAAAGTATATAGATAGAGAGAAGGAAGGAAAAGAGAGATAGAGAAGTAAAGGAGTTAGAGTCTGATAGAAAGTGTCGTGTGAGTGAGGAACAGAGGGGAAAAAGATACAAGAGAGAGAGAGAGAGAGAGAGAGAGAGGGGGGTCATGAAGAGATAGCTCATAAAAGAGAGAAAGAAAGGAGGGGAGAGAAGAACAGAGAAAATGAAGAGAAAGAAAGAGAGAAAGAAATATAAGTACAGAGTAAATTGGACGAAGCAAGTAAAACGACATGATGAAGAAAGAGAAGCATAGAGAGAGAAGGAGGGTGACAAGGAACGGGTACAGAATGAGTAAGAGAGAGACAAGTAAAGATATAGACTGAGAGAAAGGCATAGGAGAAAGTAAGAGCGAAAGAGAGAGAGAGAGAGAGAGTAGAAAGGACGGTGGAAAAAAGTAAAAATAGTGAAAAAGAAGATCGAAAGAAATATATGAGTGAGATAATGAGAGAAAGAGAGAGAGATAGAAAAACAGTTGGGAGAAAAGAAAATGAGAGAGAGAGAGTGAAAAAGAGAGGCAGAGAAGATAAGCGAGTGAGGAGGAGAAAGAGTCTCTGGGGAGAGGAAGATAGTGAGAGAGTGGGTGGACAGAACAACATAAGGGAGTGAGAGGAAGAAATCGAGAAAGAGAGATTACATTCCTCTCTCTCTTCATTCCTTTACTAGTCTAACAGTGACATAAGGTGTACAAGACAGAGATCCGGATAATGACCAAAAATGGGCTACCAAAAGTCGAAGTAAATTCTTCGACAGGAATTGATTCCAGGGTCGATTAAAAAATAATGACCCTTCGAATATAATTTTAAAATTATTAGAATTCAAATTTTTTATAGTTATGAAATATTATTTAACTATGAGACCAGAAAGATAATTTGTGAAGTAACCTTCTTTTTTCTTGTCCCTAATTGCTTTTCAAAATTGTTATTCCTCTGGAGACACGTAGAAAACAAAGAACTGTAATAGAATTTCGGTTTTTGGAAGAGGAAATGCTGCAGACATTCATAGGAGGATAGTAAAGGATCATGGGAAGGCTGCAATTGATATAAGCACAGCAAAGATATAGGCCAGTAAAATTAACAGCATCCTAGAGAGTAACTAACCTTAATGATAAGGTTGCACTGGCAAGTTATTTACTGCTATGACTGAAGAAAAGGCTAATCTGATGCTCCTTTTACAGCGTGTGAGCCGTAGTAGAGCCTACAGTTTAGATCTGTCACGGGTATTCAAAATTGTGCAAAATACGATCCCAGAACGCTAGAGAGCAAAAAAAAAAAAAAAAAAAGATCAGTATATTGGCACCATCTTTAGACAATTTCCGCTTTACTTGGAAAGATATTGGTTATGTTTTGGGACCAGAAACCATTAGGTTTTATTCCCAGTGGCTCCACTATCATTTCCGCCTACTACGTGAGCACATTATCAAAACTCAGAAAAAAGAAGCAAGATTTGGCGAGGTCTTATCTTTGCTCCATGAATTGAGTAATCAGGAACTAGTCAGAGCGCATGTCGCTTTGCTCAAAATACTTCAGGGAAACTTGGTTTAGTAGCAAAAGGCTTGGATAAGAATGTTATTCACTTTCACACTCTCCGTCACTGACAAGTAGTCAGAAAAAAATCTCCCTACTTGAGACAATAAAAGTAGCCATTACAGATCATATGCGTTTTGGTATTTATTACTACAAGAAAACCTTTCTGTTAGGGAAAAGACTGGTTTGACTTTTAGTAATAAACACAGACAGTGTGACTTTGCAGTGACATCACCTGTACAATCCACAACAGAACACGAGCATAGTAAGCCAATCATCAATTCGAGTCACCTATCATGTCGTGTTTGCCAAGAAACAAACATTTCTACTGGATAATGAACTTGTGCCACATAACGTGCCAAAATTTGTGGCCTTATGACAAACTTAGCTAAGGGCGTCGCAATTTGGGGTAATGGTTGGATTGACGAGGAAGTTGTTAAAAATCGGAATTGATAAAAGGTCCTACTAATATACAATAAACATTATTAGCCTTCTTATCAATATTATCATTTTTGTTATGTTTTATATCGCGGATTTCTACCATCAGACTACAATATCTATCTATTCGAACTGATTTACCAATAGTAAGTTTTAAAAATGAATTTAGTTATATTGGATGAACACGATGGTTTGGTTAGAGTTTGGATACTTCATGGAAACATAGATTGGAAGACAACAGAAGTGCGATTGAGTAATGGTTACCGATTATGTGAGCAATAAATTATGTGTCCCTAAAAAGTTGATAACTGTGTCAAGATGTATTAACTAATAAACACAACGTTAATGACTATATTCGTACAAGAACATATTCCTTCAAATTCTGAAATGCCGTATTCAAAGATATCAAAATAATGGAATTATTTCCATTCGTTCCATATCGTGAGCCAATAAAAAAACATGTCTGTAATTTAAAGATATGTATCTGAGAGTAGGAAGTAATATTGAAGCAAAGATCTCTGTGAATCTATAAAACTGTTGCAAGTAAAATTCAAGTCGTAACAGGCGAAAAATGAACAACATTAATAATTCAGTTAGTTCAGATCTTTATAGCTAAGACTCGTCTTGCTCTATCGGTGAGGTTAAATGACACGCATTTCCTCTGTATTCCGTTTGTAAGGAAGAAGTGTTGCTCAGTCTGCTTTTAGCCGAGAACTACTACCCTGAACATTAAAATATTAAGGTCTTCAAGTCAAAAGTCAATCGCTATATACCCTCCCATCTTATCTTCTTAATTTTAACTTCCTATCTACCATTTCTGCCAAAGCTGGAAAGTGAAGATTTGGCTGCCGCTGCATAAATAGTAGTACACCGTTTTTGGCTTTCATCTGACTCCTTTGAAAGAACAAACATGACAGATGGAGTCAGATACTTTCTGGAGTGATATAAAGAGTCGACCATTTTCCCAGTACCTTCAGCAATATACACCATTCTGAAAATGAATTGAAACAGAACGAATAATTCTGTGATTTTTTACTTTTTTCGTATTTTTCTAATGAAACATGACCTAGTGCACATGTTAGTACTTCGCATGTCCATTCCACGAAGTCGTTCCTTGAAGATTCCCGATTGGATTTAAATCAGGAGAATTTCCGAGTCAGTCTATGGTACTTTGATTTGCTCACTGGTAAAGCTTTTCGGTGGGTTCGTGCAGCGTTACAATTTTCTATTGTCTTCCTAAGATTAGCGTCTATCGCAGAAAATTAGGACATCTAATCGAAAGTCGAGACAATAGTGTCTGAGCGTGATAAAATTCGGATGCAATCACGGCTGACGCAATATGTTTCAATGCCAAACAAATTTCATCGTAAGCCCCGAAAATAGATTCATATTATTGCACACCACTTCAAAAGACCTAATCTGAGAAATAAATAGAAATCGATTACACCCTGTCATTCTAGAGGGTCTAAAACTGACCGATTGGCGAAAGAAAGGTAACTAAAGAGGTTGTTTCAATTAATTTGCAAAGGGTGTATGAGTTTCCACTCGACGCCTGAGATGAACTTCTTGGAAGGAGTCTGTTTCAGAGGGCAACTATTCATCGTTACAGTCAAATGGTAATCAGAAGACGTTGTTCAAATTTAAACATATAACTATATTTTTCAGTAAGAAGCACACATTCAGAATCAGGGGCTGATGGAATGTTGCTAGCTTAGCTTTTGTAGCATTGAACGTTTCAATACAGATTTTCCAACATTTGACCAATATCTTTTGAATTTATTCCCAAATACATTAAGATTATTTGCATAATAAAAACTCACATCTGAAAATTCAATTATTATCAATATTTTAATAAGAAGCTAAACTTCTCAGGATATAGTCATCAAATCTTTTACTTGCTATCAACGTCGATTAGTTAATACCAAGCCTAATCTAAAAACATGAATATACATTCAATCTACGTTTACAACCATATAAGATCATTTATATATGTACGTGTGTGTGTGTGTATTTGTGTGTGCGTGTGTGTATGCCTGATTCGAATCAAATTATTAAACCTTTTTCGTGTGTCGTCAGTTTAAGTGTATTTTTAAATTGAAGTGTAAGTGAAATGCTATTTTGGCTTAACTGTAAAGTTTTTCGCGCTGTTTTGCTTTTAAGAAAGTTAATTTTCATTTAATCATGCAGACAGATCACTTAGTAATGTAATCTTTCTACTTTTCGACATCTTCTCTTGCCTTCGAACATTTCATATTTCAATGTTTTTCTTTCCTTTCGCAATCAGAATTATTTACGGCTTTTTGCGCTTGGCAACTGAGCTGAGACAATTATTCAGCATCAATATTTGAGCAGACGCCGCATTCGTCCTAACTTGATCACAATTCTTACAAGAAATATTGATTTTATTAAATTTTTGACACTTTTTGTTAATATTTGTTGCTATTATTGCAACACTCGGGTCGTTTTTATATTCTAGGACTGTTAAATAACCGTTAAATAACTCGGAAAAAAGTTTCCAGCAAGATTTACAGTTGATCTCGTAAGTTTTAGGAGCTGGTTAGATTATGGATGCTCATTATTAATGATGCTACATATGGTAACTAGATAACGCTGATTAAATGTATTCATATAGCTACATTCTTCATTCTATATTCTTGAATCATTTTACCCCAAGCAAGGCGGCAATGCAACTAAGACAAAACGGGATTACTGGGGGTGAAAGCGAAAGAGAACGAAGAAGACTGAGAATTATGAGGATAGAGGAAAGGCAAAAAAGGAAGAGGATTCAAGGAGACAGAAAGTGGCAATTGATGTTGCATTTAAAATTTTGAAAATTATAATTTCAGGAAAGCAATAAATCGGAAAGGAGTTTCATCGGTGGGAAGTGCGAGAAAATAAATTATTAGTGTAGAAGTGGCAGTTGGATTTAGCTATTTTAACAATAAAACGGTGAGACCAAATTGCCCGACAAGTAGCCAATGCACCAGTGAAGAAAAGCTCATCAAAATGAAAATATTTCTAGAAGAAAAGTCAGAGGGAAGTCAGGTCACATCAATGAGAAAGTGACTGAAGTCAAGATACCAGGACTGACTACATTATAGAGCGTTTCTATTTTGTCAAGAATATCGAGATATACATCTGGAACGCCAGATCAGATATGACAGGAATATTCATTGCTCGGACGAATAGTAGATTTATAATTGTGAAAGATGGATCCTGATGAGAAAAACTTTGGCAGTCGCAAAGTAACGTCGTGAATCTATGTGAGGACCAATAACATTACATTCTTTTGATATTGTTGAGAGTCTCAATATATATAATAGGAGCACCGAACCAGATATGGCTGCAATATTCAATGCACAGACGAATGGTAGATTTATAAATGTTCAAGATGGATTCTGATGTGAAAAACTTTGGCGGTGGGAAAGTAAAGTCGTGATTCTAGCTGAGGACCAATAACATTACATTCTTTGGATATTGTTGAGACTCTTAAGATATATGACTGCAGCACCAGACCAGATATGGAAGCACTTTTCAATGCACTGACGAATGGTAGATTTATAAATGTGCAAGATGGATTCTGATTAGAAATTCCTTTGATACAATCGTTCCACTTCATGCTAGCAGTAATCGTGTGGCGAAATTGGCTTACTGTTTTGTTCTCTTGAAGCTTAGCATCGTCTATGCTGAT